CCCGAGGCTCGGGAAGAGCGAAAAACTGTAAGCGTGCAAAAATCCCCTGAATAGCGAAAAAAAAGCGTGGCAACATGTGTTGGTTCACCATTACACTAACCTGGTCGTGACATGCGTGCCTCAAGAGAGGTATACCAAACAGTGCCCGTGTGGGGGTTTGCAATTCAACCGTCGCAAGATGGGTTAATAGCATATGACTGGTTAAAATGTTCAAAAGCGGACCCGCCCTCTTGAAGGGGCGTAAGGGGACGATGTACACCCAACCCGACCCAACCCGAAAGGATGGTAAGGCTAATAATGATGTAGTGATATGAAATATATCGACATTGAACACAGAACCGATACCAATGACCAGTTACTAACTTGGTCAGGGTGGCGGAGTCCTCAACTGGAAGAACCGAAGATCAACCGAAAGCACGATCCTTAGAATGCGTGTCAAGTTGGTAATGGCGAATGAAGGCGCTTCTGCTGGCTCCAAAGAGTGACAGAACCGATCTCTTCATTGAGCAGTGCCGCTGTGTATTGTCAACAAAGCGCATCTGCCCTACCCAGTTCTGCCTTCAACCCCTCGAGGGAGGTAAACCTTATCATTGTAACCATACAATTACGAAACAAGCCAGCGAGATAAAGTAAACGCTTGCTAGCAGACTCCCCAGTCTTCCGCCACCAAACAGCACCCATGGATACCCGGGGACGGACGAGGATCCCTTTGTTCGTTCGTTTGTGATACAGGCACGGGTGAGCAATCGAAAGATTGGTCCCCGGTCGCGAGCGAAGGCTGGTAAGGGTGGAAGTGCGATATGAGCAGTCGCGTGGTAAGCAATATGGCACTGAGGAGGAGCTGTGGTAGGTATCCGAGTCGAATGCAGACATGATCAGTATAAAATACTGTCAGTGTCGGGTCAGTGGGAATCGCATGGATGTACCGACCCTTCTACCAGAGTTCACCACAACAAGTAAAGTCGCCTTCCACATCAACAAGTGAAGTGAGAGAGACGATATACTTGAAAAATTAGGCCAGACAGCCACCGTGAATAAGTGGTACCAATTTAAGGTGGGCTGGGAGTGCGGCGGCTCGAACCCCTGTTCATGCCAGCTACGACGCGATGTACGAGAGGATGCTGCCTAGGCAGAGTGGAAATAGCCATGGAGTACCCGGCAATGGTGGAGGTCATAAGGCTCTCAACCAAAACGAGGTTATAGTAACTAAATCCGCAGAATAGGGATTATGAAATCCCCCTATCTGCACACCAGCGCGCCCCACCTATCAACACACTGAACGGGTGTCGAATCCCAGTCAGAATTGTGTCTGCAACGGTTGCAGGAATTCCCTGTGTTATACCCGACAGAGGCCAAGCCACCCAGTGAATCCGAGGATTCGTGTGCTCGCCCGTTCAGAAAGTGAGAATGTCTGGCCGAAGAGGTAATTCCAGAATCCCGGCGTGGGGATCGAACACCAACCTGACTGCTGTCAATTCCAGCACATTGATGTGCAGGTTGTGACTCGTCTCCAAGAGCTTGCAGGTCACCCAGAACATCGCCCCTAACCCGGTAGGGATGTATCTGGCTGGACTGAGAGCGACGGTGTCTCCAGGGGTGGGACCCCAGAGAGACGCCTGGCGCTCTGTCCATCTGATGCGTGAGGTTGACAATTCACCCTAGTTTCGTAAGAGTGACCAACACTGATCGTGGGGTCCCCAGACTCAACAGTTATCTGAAACCGACGATGAGCCAGTCAGCCTATGCACGGTGACAACACCGCACTGCGCGATCTGGCTATCTGAGCTGTAATAAACCTCAATTTGGTGAACACCCTTGGCACCGTAAATGTAGCCTAAGGAGAGCACACACGAAATTGGTAGCATCGTCCCGTCAAACAAGAAACCGAAGGTAAATCTTGAAATCAGGGTGCAATGGAACAAGGAGGCACAGCGACCTCGAGGTCGATTGGCGTCGCCTAATCCCCTGTCTCTCGGCAGATGAGATCACCGGTAGCGGTGTCTCCATCTTGAAGGACAGTACCTCTATGAACTTGTTCAGCTCTCAGATGAGAATGGGTCTGAACATTCCGTTCGGTGAATAGCGATGATAAGAAACCAAATGGAGTCAAACCCAACATATTCCTGACCATTGGAAACCACCACACTGGTTGCTTCTAGCCCAGCAGAGACTGGATCTACGCACGGAGTATTGTCGCCCGTCTCCGGAAGCCGACACTGGTGTGTGTCGCTCCGACCGGGTGTTTGCGGCAGAATATAGTAACCCAGCAGTCGGCAACTTAACGCGTTGCCGATGCTCTGGGCACCTGAGGAATTAACGAAGCTCAACAGACTTCCGTATTCCTCGAAACGGTCCCGTATAGGCCCCATAACCGCCCTCATCATTTGGCTGGTACAGCTACAATGCAGTCCCTAGCCAGATGAGAGTTGCCCCGTCAGATGCACCAGAGTCGCCCGTGAAAAAATTCCACCGGCGCTCTCTCCCCTTTCCACCAGCTCCCTCAGCAGAGCTGAGAGATGCGCCGAGTGGAGCCTACAGCGTTGAGCTGTGAAGGGGAAAGAACGGCAGACTTAAGGGAGAGTGTGAGGCCTTGTCCCGGATGCCGTGCTGGAAGCAGGCTTCCCTCCGGGAGGCGAACTCCAACGGTTCGGGTATTCGACATGGACAACACCTGAGGCAACACAGCCGCGATTCTATCTCGCACTTGCCCTCAGGGACGAACCTACTCAGTGGTAGGTTCAAAGTAGCGAAATGACACTCAACGGCCTCTTGGCCAGGGCATCGATAGACATCAGGATGAGACCTGAGCTAACAGCGCCGGGGATCTGCTCCGTACCGGGGCCGAAGCCCAGGTCGGTGCTAGTCCGATCTGCAGTCCCGAGACACAAGGGAGTAGCCTGGCAATGCAGGTTTCCCCTGGTGGACACAGGTAGACGTAGGAGCGCCGAGGTGATCGGCAGCTCTGTGGAACCCAGACCGGGGCGCCGAGAGGAACCTGCCGATATACAGGTTTCCCGGGCAACCCCGACTGACCACTTGGCGCCGAGGTGTCCCCGAGCTGGTCGGCGCCTAGGCGACCGCCAGTCAGGGCACAAGCCTAAGGCAGGATCAAGCTGCCTGGGAGGAGGCGCGTTCTCCGAGCCAGAGCTCGGGCACGCAGTAAACCCCCAGATGCGTCCGATCCACCCCCGACGACAGGCGTGCTGAGCTCCTTGCGGAACCCAGACAGCGCCGTGTCAATCGGGGATTTCACCACAGACGACACCTGGTTAACTTACCTTCGAGATCAACACTTTGCGAGCCGCTATCAATCATCGACTTGACATTATGTTGAAGAATATCTAGCTGCAATAGTGATATTTAAGTCAGCAACATTGTTTGCGGATAAAGGGATTTCCTTAGAAACCTTTTATCAAATATTATCCCCCGCCTGAAGCAGATTAGTGAAAAAACATAAAATCTGCGTGTCGGAAAGAATGCACGTGAGGCGCAGAAACCCAGACAAAAAACCACAACCTCGGCCTATGAGCCACGTTGTGTGTAAACGTATGAAATATGTATCATAATACAACATAATGTAACAGGAATATTGACGCAAGGGCGTTTTATTATGAGCATCCTTGATCGCGTCGTGGCGTCCTCGGCTAAACACCGGAGGCACACTTTATAACCATCCTGTGGCGGTAGTGTGCATGGCACAACGCCCAGGGCTTAAACTGCAACAAACAGAACCACGCCAGTGTTACTAGCAGGAACTGTGAAGCAAGCAATCACATAAACACAAGTAATAGCAAGAATAACCGTGCGGCCGCGATATATAAATGCTACAAGCTACAGCCATTTAAATACTAAACATACAATGCAAAGCAGAAAAAGGCTAGCCACCCCTGCGTTTACATAGAGTAAAGTTGAGTGATCTGAAAGCGAACACTATCAAAATTACCCAACAACGACTTACCACAAATTCGGCTGAAAGAAAGAGAATTTAGGCAAGCCTACCATATAATATGCAAACATAATATATGAACTCCCCTACTACAAGCTACCAAGAACACATAGCAAGGAAACCCGCGATCGCGGGTCCGCCATTTGCCTGCCACATGGCTGGAAAGACAGAGAACCCAATGCAAAGTTACAACAAAAGATGAATGAAAATATCAACATATGACGTCCATCTAACGCCTGCCGCGAGAAAGGAACCATACATACAGATTGAGACTCTTTTACACTCATCATCGTGACGGGTAGGAGAGCAAACTTCGAAGCGAAACACAACGCACGCCGTCTATTCAACAGAACGACAGCATGAAAAGTGAGGTCAATTTGAGGTGGACGGCTAGAGTTACCTGCTCTTGGCTGTGTTGGTCCGGTGGGGCCCTGTAGGGGTGGTCTCACAAGACAAAACGAGTTTTTTGTTTTGTAAATATTTTATTAAAAATATAGTTACAACTGTCGTAGGATTTAAAATGGACATTTTAATGCTTATATGTACCCCAAGGAGGACTTCTTCTGAAAAAGAATAAAAAAATATAATAGAATGTCGAACATACATTGCCTGTGATTCCAGCGTTTTTCTACGGCCATTGTTTTCTTCATCTTCCATCCATGAGCTGAGGACTGATGCAGCCAGTAGGGATGATGTTAGAATGTGCTGAAGGAATGTGCAAGTGAGTCAAAATGTACTTACGTGTAAAGTAGCCTACTATATTAGTTAATGTCCGTATAATTTCTGCCAACCAAACCCCAAAACTGATGTACAGTGGAGTTACCATTTATCATTAACGATTTAAGTTATCTGGATCACGATCAAATCTGTTATCTCCTTTGCCTCTGGCAATCAACCGAGGCTCTCGATGAATTTAATCGCCTCTTACGACAAGCCAGGGTTGCTGGGAGCCTACATGAGTTGTATGAGTATATTCCTTCATTGAATCCCAACTTCAGGTGCCGTGTATGGTAGGATGGAGATAATGTTCCAAGGAGTTTCAAACCCTTCCTATTCAATCACTGCTTGCCCTCGTGTATGAAAAGTATCTTACGGTTCCTTTCTTCCAGAACAGTGCAGCACATTTCACTCGGTTTGTCATCACAGCCCATATCATTAAACGTTGGAATACTTTCTCCTTGGGTCGATAAGACGTAGTACTGGAGAGAGGGAACAGACTGTATGCGGTTTCCTGTACAAAAACAAATACCTGATTACTGTTCTTTGCAATCACAACTTTATTAGTATCTAGAAGATTGATAACTCACATGCTCAAGCTAAGGGAATAAGATCTATGAAAGGAAAACACGCAATTTGCTAATCAAACAAATACATACCAGTCTTTGTGACCAGTGTGTCACTTCATACAATTTTGAAAACACAGCTTCAGTGAAGAATGTTGTAAGGTCCAGACCGTTATGGTCTATAATGAACTGCACAATCTCAGCCTGGTCCATCCGCATCGCTTGAACCAGGAACATTCCTACTGTGTCTTAAAACCAAAAAAGATAACTGTCCTTAGTTCACTAAAATCTCAACTTTACACGTTGCAATTGGGAGGATAGGCCAAATTATTAATCGGGATTTACAAAACACTCCTTCAGATCAGGTGTCAGTATTACACGTGTGCCCTGTCTGGTTGAGTTCAACCTATAAAATGTACCGTTATGTAAACATTAATCAAAGCAAAACGGGTAACGATCGATGGCGTGTTTGAACGAGTTGTATTGCTCAGCAATATTCCAGCTATATGGCGGGGTCTGCAAATAATCGAAGTCGGGACCAGACAATCCAGTGATCAACAACATGAGGCATCAATCTATACAATTGGTCATGAATACGATGACATGTGTCAACTAAGTCAGCGAGCCTGACCACCCAATCCCGTTAGTCGCCTTTTACAAGCCTGGGTTGCTGAAGATCAATTCTAACCCGGACTTCACGGGTCCAAAGTGTTGTTGTCCTGCTGAGATACAAACAAGGCTTCGTGTCTAACTCCACTCTACCTTTACCACTGGGATGTTTCGGTTTTTGCTCAATGTCGTTGTGAGCTTCCGCAGCAGCCCCTTTCCCGTCAAACAGCCTCTCCGGCATATAGTAGTCCAGGATGCGTAGTACTTCAGGGACGGATTTACCTAAAACAGGACAGCACAGTATCTTTGGACTCTCACATCATTGAAACAGCCTTAAGAGTTGGAACAATTCTGTTGTAGACTTCCATTCATGGTCCGAATCAGAAATCGGAATAATCAGTGTAAGGTTTTCAGATACAATGTCACGTTACGGTGTAGGATGTGTAGCATGTATGTGTTGCAGGTCAAGAACATTGAGAATAAACGTGTGAACAGTATTTCAGCCATAAAGAGGCGTTTTAGCTTGTGCGAGGCAAGCCCTTTGATAGACTTGAACGTGAATTACAATTAGCATAACCATGTCACATATATGGAATTTAAGTTTTAATGATTCATTTGTAGGTGTTTCAACAGTTGGCAGGAGACACCTATGTGAAACGCACGGGAAGGGACGTTTCCATTAGATATTGAGTACGTTTGTCATATCAGAGCATATATTTACTTTTTAGCAGTGCCTGTATTACTGCGTTAACCAGCGCGGTTTCCTCTTCCTCTTCGTCAATGTGTACAACCGTGATGAGCTCTCTTTTCTGTAGACACTGCATGATTTTGTACTCGCCAACTTTCTTTCCTTCAGCGTGAACTTTGGTAAACTCCTTCTTTACTTTGTCACGTGAAACTTCATCAATCACTGTGCCCGTCCTATATATCATAGAGTAAATGGAAATAGGAAATTGAGGTAAATTAATAATTATCTTGCTCAAATTTACTCTCTAACATGGTATTGGTATCTGAATCGTTCAATGGATGAGATTCATGTGACAAAAGATATTATTTTACTCTTACGTATAATATAGAAACTATGTGAAACGGACGTGCAACATGTATATACATGGTTATAGTTACGTGTAAGGGTATTTCATCATTTGGGTATTTAAAGGGGGAGATGACTCCTTGTACAACTCACCATTCTTTGTCTCTGCCACCAGAAGAACTTTTCTTGTCTTTCTTGGAGGTTTCTAACACATTGGCCAGTGCATCAGCAACACCACCTGTCCCCTGATAAAACTCAGAATACTAAAACTTTAGACAGACAGACAGACAGACAGGTTTATTTGGTAATTTAGGCCCAAGGCCCATAATACATACATTTGGCAAAAGTAAATACATACTGAGTAAAGCTAAGTAAAGTTTAGTATTGATTTGTTTTACAGATAATCGTTCCTCCTAAGGCGAACTTGTGAAAGATATTTACTCAATGATTTTAAAATATGTATATTGTCTGATGACAACAATCGGATGAAGGTTTCAATTGTCGGTGGTTGAGTCAGATATATTGAAAAACAATCAGATCTTTGTTGGGAATATTTTGGACATATTAATAAAATATGGAATTCATCTTCGATGTAGAGGCGGAGACGTTCATTATACGGGGTGTTTGTATGACGGCCACATTCCACTGCGAGTCTGAAGTTACAGCACCGAAACTAAGATATGATTTTACGTTGATTTGGTAGCAATTCACTGGTTAAATATGGTTCGACGCTTAGAGATGATTTAAATTGTGAATAGTATTTACATTTGGGTGACGAAAATAGTGATGCATGCCAGTTTTGAGTGAAGCAGTCATAGAATCTCTGTTTAAAAATTACCATGAATGTGTATATACAGCCTATGTCTTGAGATATCCATAAGAAACCAAATCCATATTGGAATAATATCAACCTAATATGAGAAGCCCATGTTGTTTTACCATTATCATCGAAAGTTTTGATCATTAGATATGCCTGATAAGGAAGTCTGTGTCGTGGAAGCTGCATCAGTCTGAACCAGTACTTGACTGCTTGAGATATATTGATACTGGAGGGGAGCTCTCCCACACTCTCCCAGAACCATGTTGTTGTTGGTAGTTTTACAGACTTTAAGAAATGACTTGCAAAATCTGGTGTGCACAGTTTCAATAATTTTACAGTAGCTTGTTCCCCATATTTCAGATCCGTAACAGAGTATTGGTGCAATCACAGAGTCAAATATCTTAAACAATTCATGATGGTTAATATATCCAAAACATTTTTGATAATTGTTGATAGAAAATATGGCCTTCCTCGCTTGAGACGATAAACAGGTTTTCGCTTTTGTCCATGATAATCTTGGAGTAAACACAATACCTAAGTATCTATACATATTAACAACCTCAATTTGTGTTCCATTTAAAAACCACTTCTCATAATCCCTGAGCGGACCTCCATTGCGAAATACCAGTATTTTAGTCTTTTTCAGGTTCACCTTCATTCCAGTCTCTGCACAAAACCTTTCAACAACATTAATTTTCCTTTGGAGCTGCATAGCACTGTCAGATACAGATGAGACATCATCAGCAAATAGGAGAGAATAAACATCCTTGGCTTGTGAAGATATAAAAATACCCCTTCCACCATCATTCTCCAGCATTTGTGATAGTTGATTTATAAAAATAATGAAAATTTGAGGACTTAAAATACATCCTTGCCTTGTGCCAACATTACAGTTGAAATAAGATGATAATCCAGTATCAGTTCTGACACAAGCACATAATGATGAGTACATCTTGATGATAAATTTCATAAATTTCCCCTTCACACCAATGCTCACAAGACTCCTAAACAATATTTGATGATTAATGCAGTCAAAAGCTTTGGTAAAGTCTATGAACAAACAATAGAATCTCCCCTTCTTTTTTGATAAATACTTGGTTGCCATAGCTTGTAAGGTGAATATATGGTCAGTGGTTGAATAACCATGTCTAAAGCCAGCCTGACACTCTGAGATTATGCTGTTGTCATCACACCATTGTTGTAATCTGTTATTGATTATGGAAGTAAGAATTTTACACATTGAGTTGATCAAAGAAATACCTCTGAAATTGTTTTGGTCCAGTTTGCTTCCAGATTTATGCAAGGGGCAGATGATACTCTTTCCCCAAGTCTCAGGGAAAATGCCATCTTCAAATAACTTATTGAATAGTTTAGTTAATAATGGTGCAATATAGCTTTTAGAAGCCTTGAAAAAGTCACCGGCTATGCCATCTGGTCCTGCTGATTTGCCGGTCTTAATGTTTTGAAGACTAGAAAACACTTCATGTTCTGAAAAGGGATCATTCAACTGAGATGTCATGTTGTCATTTATATCCTCACATAATGTCTCTTCGATAACATTATTGGCAGATTCACAATATAAAAGGTTCCGAAAGTGATCATGCCATTCATTTACAGGAATATTAGGAGTCTCTGAACGAGAAACTGAATTTGATTTTAATACGCTCCAGAATTGTTTAGGGTCATTTCTTGAGTCACTAAGTTTTCTCCTTTGATCTTGAAAATATAAGTCTTTCTTCAGTTGAAATGTAGATTTGAAAATATATATGAATCAATGTTTTCACCCCTTGATCTGTGTGCTCTAAGAGCTGAGTATTTCTTTGTTTGATATGCTCTAATTCGAGTCCCACCAGGGGCTGCTTGGAATACATGGAAAGAGAATTATTATAAACTCTCTTGAATTTATCTGCTGCAGCCTGGTAGAGATCAGTTAATGCTTTGACACTTTCTTCCACATTTTCTTCAATCTGTTTATGTATTGTGTCATACTGCATCATAAACAATTCATGAAAATCAACTAAAAATATGTTGTACATTTCAGGGGACCAGTTGTATTTTATCCATGCCTCTTGATCCATAACACATGACTGATTGGAATTGTTATCTTTACACCTTTGAGTTGAAGCTGCACCAGGAAGATCAATAGAACAATATAGAGGGAAATGGTTTGACTCGTCTCTCTCATGAATACCAAAAGAGCTGAAATAGGGGAATAGATCAGTACTTGCTAGGAAGTAATCCACAACACTGGCACCATTATGGGTCACACAGGTGAAGTTGCCTTCCTTATCATCAAACAACCTTCCATTCAAAGCATGTAGACCATGTGTACAACACATTTCTGCAAGGGATACTCCATAGTTGTTATATCTAATATTGTCTTTCGTATTGCGCAGAGTTTGGAAGTTATCACTTGGGTAGTCCTCACTGTTGTTTTGGACATAGTAGAGATCATCACAGGAATATAATCTAAAAAATGTTTTCATTCTTGCATTAAAATCACCCATAAGTAATATATGATGCTGATAAAAATTATGCTTTATGGTTTCGACATATTGTTCCAAACGCTGAATGCCATCAAAATCCTTACCAATGTATATAGGGGAGTTTTCAGGTGATATGTAGACAAACATTAACACAATATCTTTGTCAAGTCCAAGTCTCGTGGATTGAAACAAAAGAACAACACAATCTTCACAATCTTCAAGCACTCTGTACATCTTCAAGCACTCTACCTACCCAAATGCTACATATATGATCTAACATGTCGTAATCGGTGGGGTGTCGGGAATTTCACAACAAAACAGACACGTGTTTACTTAAAACCCTGTATATTCCAGCTGTAATACTAATGGAGCCTTGGCCGAGTCCTCAATCGCGTATTCCTGTTTGGGTCTACTTCCGTTACTATGTATCCCGCACTCGCTGTGTGAGATCCTCGGAGACTCGGTGTGTTGTATCTTCTCTGTCTTTTAGTTTCCTCTTCGAAGTGAACAGGATGTCGTTTCTGTCGTTGGTGAGAACGAAATTCGCAATTATTGGGGGATTACGTTTTCCGTTCCGGAGTCGATGGGCCCTCGTAATAAGAATATCGTCTGCTTGGGGGATGTCAAGAGTGTCTCGAATAAACTCACGAACTTTCTTCTCCGAAGTTTCCAAGGTTTCGTTGTTTTCACTTTCTATGCCATGAAAGAGCAGATTATTGCGCCTAGACCTGGATTCATAATCATCAAGTCTATCTTTCATAACGCGTAGCTGTTAAGTCATCCTTATGTTTTCTTCACTCAACTTATTTATATCGTCTCGTTGTTCTCTCACCTGAGCCGCCATTTTGTCCACTTTGGTGTCAAGTTGGGTGAGGCGGTCGTTTGCAGTTTTCACATCAGACTTTAACCCGATAATAGCGTCCATTAGATCATCTGTTGAGTATTTGCTGGTGAGCCCCACAGCCCCTGTATCCTCCTGTGAGAGATTTGACTGCCTCGTTGACTTGGGGCCGGGGTTACACTCCACGTCACCACTCAGAGTTAGAATAAGCCTCAAAGTCAACGATACATACTTTTTTGACACACACAATCCATGAGATGATGGTTTGGTCCTGCTAGGTTGTGAAAACGAGCCGATTGTAGCTCTATATTGCTCTAAACTTATACCCATATCGGGAGCTGTTATTGTAAAACGTCCACACTTCTCATTACCCAGCATGCATCCATGCTTAGCCACATTCGTAAATACATAACACCGGAAACATTCTAACTGTCGTGGTACTAAGTAAATTGCAAGGAGAATCAGAAGACAAAAGGTTACTTAACAAGTGAACGGACACATGGCTTGTGCTTATTACGAGCAAAAAGTGACCACTATAACCACGTTATCATCATCTAAAAACATGTAATTCCATAGTTAAAGCAATATTTTATACTAGATTCAATTTACCTGCAATACAACCACAGGTACGTTGTTGTCTATTGCAGATTGGACTCCATCGAGAATATAAGACCATCCACCATACAGCAGAACCACCAGTGGGGTGCAGGAAGTTCCTTAATAAATCAGTTTTAGATATTTACAGTTTGTGTAATACATTATATTGCATGAAGACTTTAAACGAATGCAATAATTATTCGTTTACGTTTATTATTTCAAGGAGGAAATCATTTCATGTACTTTTTTTGTTCGCTCTTTAAATGGCATTTACAAGTGATACACATAAAGGGTGAACATGTACGGATGTCACACGAGGGACACGACGTTTCCGACGTTACTCTTAAAACATCGTGCCACTCATATTACAGAAGTTGACATCCATACATTTTCACCTCTGTTGTCTGGTTCTTTTTTAGCATTTAGACACATTTTATTTGCTAAATGTCGCCATTGTTTGTAAATACCTTCTGAATGTTTCGTCATTGCTGTTTCTAGTGTCATCCTAAACTCTTGGAACGATTTGAGGGCATGTACCGGATTTACAGATCCATCGTCCACTAGGAGGTGATGCTTGTACAGAGCACTGGGTATGGATCCTTCTGTCTCCTCCTGTAGCTGAGGCTGCAGAAAAAAATCAAAGAGAAACGTAAATAACCAAATGAGAACTATGTGTCAAAAAACGTCCTAACTGTGTCACTATTTAATTTGTCACACGACAGATCTTGTGTGGAGGGTCCGAGGCAGATGTTTCCCATGTCTGTTGGGATCCGGTCCCGAGAATACCAACACAGAGACCAGTTGGCTGCAATTTGTTAAGGCCTACTTACTTGTCAATGTTCCCTGACAGGTCGTTTGTGAAGAAGGTGTGCTGTTACTGATTTGGTTTCATCCATTAATACAAACTACTCAACGTTTGATAAGGATAAAGTTTTAATGGTAGGAAAATACACAAAACAAATTATTATTGAAATGCAAGTATCACGGTACACAATGATTGTGTGACTCAGTTTTACGAGGAACAGATGCATGGAATATTCGGCACAATGTGCTTGGAAACCTTTGTTTGGTTTAACGCGGCTTTTAACAATATTGCAGCAATATCACGGCGTGGGACACCAGAAAGCTGCTTCACATATTATACTTATGTGAGGAATCGAACTTGAGTCTTCAGCGTGACGAGCGAACACTTTAACTACTAGGCTATCCCATCGCCCCATTTGTTTGTTTTTTCCTGGACAGAAACCTAGAGATCACCACACGTATGATTCTGAAGATTGCGACTACCAAATGCACTTTGTTGTTTGACGACCGTAGAATTTGGCAGGTGCACAGATATGCTTGATCCCGGTTCAACACAACATTGTGAACCTCTTTGGTGTCAGCCTGAGTATGATCAGCAGGGCATGGAATCGATGCCACAAATCTTGTTCATCTACCCAGTGACATGCGCGTGCTCGACAGCGTTCCACCTCTCATCGGGAAAATTGATTTCTCGTGATTGCAGCAAGACGTCGCCACTTAGGGAGGGCAGCCACCACACTCATAGATAACCCGTGGAACGCCAGTGGCATTAACGATTTTCGTCAGGCAGGTGCTATTTTCTCCTCAAGGTGATCCAACAAATCAACGCCTCGTTTGGATTTGGCTGAATATCACGTCATTTGGATACACCACCACCGGGATCCAGTACGTTTTGCTGATGAATCGAGATGCTGACCTGACAGACCTCACATATCGTCGGACTAGGAGGATAAATGACAAATATAACGACAGTTTATGTGGACATGAGACTAAATATACTATCATTTTGACTAATGATTTGACTGATTATTGTTGACATTACGATGAAGTATTGTTATAAAAGCTGTTTTAATAAGGTTTAACTATAAATACGCATACCTCCTCCTTCTCCAGCTTTTCAATCACTTCAGGATTAAGTAGTCCCCATCCAGATACTCCTACAGGAGTTATGTATTTGGAAGACATATCCTTGATGTATTCTCCCACCATTTTTGCAGTCCCAAAATGTATGCCTTCGGTTGTAATCCAGATATCTATTACAGAAATACTTGCCATGTACAAGATTGGCTGCGAAACATGAACCAAATTGTGAACTATGTCTACGTAAATGTTACATTTGTCACTAATCTTTACACACGTCAGTCACCTTAAGGAGTCATGATATTTTATAAAACATATCAAGGTGGAAATTATATAATTGTATAATGAATCTTACTTTGGCCATTTGATAATGCCTTCACCAGTCCCTTCAGCTGGCACCTAACTTCATTCGCCTTCTTGTCAGCCTGTCCATATTCGTCTCCTATGACGGAGAATATCCATTTTGGTTGAGGCAGTCTCCATACCTCCAGCAATAGGTGCTCAACGACGGACATGTCAGTCTGAACATCGATACGAACATACTGTAAAACAAAAGGTAGAGGACCCGTGAAGAAACACACAAACATGTATGGTCATAGATTGCCCTGGAATACACTACAGTAATGTAACTGCTAATGAACTGCACTATTGCAAGTTCATATCCGCCACATTTAAACAATGTTTTTCGTTTTGTTTTTGTTTATCTAATGATAACAGTAACATCGTGAAGCGTGTTCTCATGTTCTGAGTGGGCCCATGAGCAGATGCTGGAACAGATTACTATCCTTGGATCAGTTTGTTTCATTGGTTGATTGCTAGTTCAACAGAAGGACACACTTGACACTCCGGTTTATCGGAGTTTCCGATATAATTTTTAGGCATTCTTTAAATGTTGCGAGTTGTGCGTGGAAAGATATATTAACTATTGTTTTAAAGGAGGTATTCCGTTATTTCAAATGCAGCTCATAGACAACAAAGTATGTGAGTGAGTAAGTGAGTTAATATTTAACGTCACATCGGCAATATTTTAGGCCATATAGTGACGAGAAATGTTTTATATAAATAATAAATTAAAGCTGCTAAAGAATCAGTCAGCGAAACATAGTATGTATTCCACGGTCTGACGCACCCTTGAAGTCTTTCCTTCTCTGAAGTCAATCTTTCCGAAGTTCCTGCAAGGTTCCGGTGCTGTATTCCGTGATGTTGACCAGTCCTCATCATTTATAGACTCGCTGTCGGGATGTTCACTGTCGGGACGCTGACATTTGCAATACTTTGTGTCCTCTAGTCTGCGTAAACATAAGGTGATGCTTGTATTGTTAGGTATGTAGGTTAGTAACATGCAGTCATCGCAGAATCCCAGTAGAATATTGGTCTCTGTATTTCCTGGTGTGGGAGAAGAACGGACTATGTTATCAAGGTGACCACAATATGTGTACAGAATATAACGGATTAAATAGAATAACTTGTAAACTTTCGACGAAGAAACGGAAATGATGATTTGTGCAGATAAACTTAATATCACTGTACTTCATGCATCTCTCTTTTCATTGCAAGACGGAATGACCTGTAATGGGCTGTAATTGTCGTACATCTAGCTGGTGTTGCTGTTGAAGCCAGTTGTCCTATAAATATTCACCTACCGAAATCGTTTTCATTTTCTCAAATGTTCTAGTTGCACGTTACTTTCCATTTTCTACCATATTTGCAGCTTGTAATTGTAAATTTTATGGAATGTTGAACCAATGCTTACCTCTTTGAACAGGACTTTCAACTGTTAGTAAATGTCAAAGGACAGAAATAATTGTGTACCAGACAAAATATGGTTGAAAGTACGCATGTCCTGATTATTTGACGCATTTATGTATCGCATTGTTGCAGTATTCTGACATATAACTATCCATTTGTTCTGACAGGATATATATTATTTTGGGTATTTATTTACTGTATATATATAGTCCCCTGTCTTCTACCTTACTCATACTTGCTTGACAAAGATACAAGAATCTGTATCGAAACGTCGCATCTACCAAGAAGTTGTTTATCCATAAAGTTTGTCTGTATATCACAACAACACTGCTAAACGACAGCGGCAAATAATCAACTGATTCATTACCTCTATGGTTTAATAACAGCCCGGCAATCGTTTAAACCGTTGATATTTAAGGTGTCTTCTGGTCACGGATAACACGATGTATCGGTAGATCGATGAATCGATAGATCCAACACCTCAATATAACACCGATGGGCTATCTCAGATCCTCCCTGCTGCCGCACCTTGACCTACTCGTATCCACAATATTCGATGACACGGCATTAAATTACATTTGTGACGTCATTCCATTGTCTGTTCGCTCCATTACTTTTCAGGAATGGAGCGATGTGTACCAGTTTCAAAATAAAACCTTCATTTTGTCATTTTGACATTTAATTTTGATAACAGAAATATTCCCAATACTTCGAATGTAATTTAAGTAGGGTAATATCCTCGTAACTCTCCATTCCTTAAAAATAATGTTCTCGGCCCTCCGGGGCCTCGGCTCCATTATTTTTAAGGAATGGAGAGTTACTCGGACATTACCCTCTACATAATACGCTACAAGGACAGCGCAAGATCTGAAAATAATATATACTCTCTCTCTCTGTCTCTCTCTCTCTCTCTCTGTCTCTCAGCCCCGTTAGTCGCCTCCTGCGACAATCATGGGTTACTGAAGATCAATTCTAACCAGGATCTTCACGGGAGTGCGCGTGTGGTGCGCGTGTGTCCGCAGGCGTGTGTCTTGGTTACTCTTGGTGCTTTGACGTTACATAGATCATAGGAACTCCCTAGCAGTGCCACAATCAAGGACATTCGGGATGTGTTAGACTTGATGTCATGTTGAGTTACACACAGAAATCTTCCCAAAACATTTATGTAGCTATTGCATGAAATTTGAAGCAATTGTGTAGCGACAGATTCGCCATAGGTGGCTATGTGTTCTCGTCATATTGAGTTTTTCATGCGAAAAGTTAACTTGTTTTGTATATGTTTCTTGAAATGTGCTACCGGGTGTGGCAGTGTCCTCACGGGTCCTCACGGCCAGCGATACGTCACAGATCAGGCTTCTTCAATGGTATAGTACATGGAGATGGACCATCTGCCCGTAGAGCTGAATATTAGTAGTAAATCCCCTGGCCCCAGCATACCAAATGACATTCAAAGGAGGTACTTGTTGCTACCTTTCCTTGCATCATGGGAGTGGAGCATGTACTGGTCGGATCGGCGTCTGTTTGATGTGTATCAATGTCTGGTATCTCAGTGGGCGAGAACGGAAAGACATAGACCCGGAGCCATACAAGTGTCAATACATAAGTGCATAAGTACATCATCTACAAAAGCGATATTTCACCCCTACTTAAAAAGACACTTATTTGTGGCTTCAACCCAGTAGTCTGACACTGCCACCTAGAACTCATTAGCTGCAGAGAGACATTTTGTAGTATTTGCAGCAGTAGTATACGGGTAACTATGGGTCCAAACTGACCTAATTACGCAGGTGTGTGACCCAAATTCGCAGGCGTGTGACCTAATTAAGCAGAAGCATAGACTATTCTAGAAGATATGACAGCATATGATATTAAGGAAATATGCGGTTAAATCCAGTTTTACATAAGACAATAAAAATGTATGCTTCCCATCTCTTTCATCCAGCATTATGAACAGCACCCATATGAGTGTACTGAGAAGAAACTTCTTAAAGACATACAAAATGTAGTGAATGTATTGGAAAAGTGGGGAATATTGACTGATTACAATGATGCCGATATTATTGAAAGTCTTTTTTTCAATGGTTTTCAATTGGTTATGTTAGTGAATCTCATTTGATATATATACTAGGCACATAAAGAAACTGTGCATACAAAAATTTAAAATTTAAATTTATCAAACCTGTGTAGACACATAAGGATTTAAACTCAGAGATTAGAGCCATGTATCCAACATGCATGTACGTGCCACGTTCCGTGACGTCAGTGGGTTCGTCCTTGAGACGTGCAATACGTTGTTGCACGTGCATTCTGGGAAAGAGAAACAGAGTAAATGAATGCCGCACAATACTGTCACTTTGAAAAGCTCAGCCCCTGCCCTTGCGATCGTTAAAAAAATTAAACGGCTATTGAAACGCATAGCATGCCAAGGCTCACGTCTGCACAAAGTCATGAGGCCATTGGGATGGTCAGTGGGGAATGTCTCAACGACAAGTGGCTGCACATTTCCACTGCCACCGGAACAACATTTCTGCACTGGTGAGACGCTACCAGAACACAAATGACGTCATCGATCGGCCACGTTCTGGACGTTCACGTGTAACAACGCCAAGACAGGACAGATGGATAAGGGTGACCCATCTTCGCCACAGGTTTCAGACTGCAGTGTTGACTGCCCGAACCATCCCAGGACTTCGCCGTATCCACCCCAACACAGTTCGACAACGTTTACGTCATCACGGGATCAGACCACGACGTCCCGCCATACGGTTCTAGGTTTCTCCACCTGTTTCGTTGGAGAAATGTTGTTTTTACAGATAAGTCCAGGTTTAACATTTCCCATAGTGATGGACGTCAACGTGCCTATAGACGCGCGGGAGAACGTTATGCACAGGCCTGCGTCTTGGAGAGGAATCGCTTTGGTGGTGGCTCTGTGATGATTTGGGGTGGATATAACAGTACGCCAAAGAACTCCTTTGGTGATTGTTCAGGGCAACTTAACTGGTGTGGGCTACAGGGATCAGATTCTTCGACCTGTGGCAATTCCTTTTCTGCAACGTCATGGCCCTGGGTTAACATTCCAACAGGAAAATGCCCGCCCTCATACGGCAAGGGTTGCTATGGATTTCTTGCAACACCACAACGTTGACTTACTGCCTTGGCCTGCAATTCACCGGATCTCTCCCCGATAGAACATGTTTGGGAAGAGATGGATCGACGTCTACGCCGTCTTCCTCATCCGCCAAATAACTTCCTTCACCATGCAACAGAACTCGAGAGAATCTGGCGTGACATCCCACAAGCCTTCCTTGCACGTTTGATAGGCTCTATGCGTCGTCGATGCACTGCTGTTCTCAATGCCGATGGTGGACATACCCGTTATTGAGCTTGTGACATGGTCGTTTGACCCCTGTCCCGCTTGTGGACTCGTGACGTCAGTGTGATTGACTTTTCAATTGAAATTCTGCCGACTTGTTATGGTCTCATGATCCCTCCATTAAAGTTTATATGTACCTTTGACATTGTTATCGTACTTATCAACTGGGATAATATTTTGACAATGCAGTTTCTTTATGTGGCTAGTATATTTGGTTTTTGTAGGAAAGTCAACAAACATCGCAACAGTGCCTTACTGATGACATTGCCAAGACGAGGCCCCCAGGCGTTTGATCTATTTTGTCTGGCTCTTCATGCTTGCAATGAACAAGAATCAATATTGTCATCTGCATCTGGGTGAACATGTATCTGCAACGACTAAGTCTAGGAAAGGGTATTTGTGTATTCCCATCAGGAAGTATGATGTGTACTCCAGCAGCAAATCTTATCCTACTCGACGTGGCATCGTGCTCACCTTGAAACTCGCCAATGAGTTCCAGCAAATAGGAGATGTTATGGCGTCTGGTCACTCAGGTCCTCATGCATATGTGGGGCTAACATGTATGCCACCGACAGTTCCCCTCTCGAAGCTTGTTATGTGCGTAAATACGACAAACCAATTAATCAGAACGCGTGGAATGATTGCAGTGCCTTGATATATATATAATCCCGTGCACTTAAATCCTATATGGCATAACGTGATTGTCTAAAACTATATATCGTCATATTGACAGTACAAAGCACGTAGCTGACATAATTGTGTTGCCTATAATGTGAAGTTTGTAATAAGAAAAACGGTAAGAGATTCAAATACACGGGCGTGCGTATATATTCCAGAAGGGTATGACATGACAGCAAGGTTACACGAATGTTCAGTTTGAGAAGCATTTTTAAGTCATTTTGAGCATCTGTTTGGGCATTTAATACAGCTGAAAAAACTAATAGTAATAGTCCGCTTATATTGCGTTCATATCCAGGCAGATTGCCTGCTCACGCTTAGAAGTACGTACATTACTCTCTCCGGTCATAGGACACCATCGTACATGGTTGGTCATCGTATTCAGATTAAAAGGGAGACCTCCAAGCTAGGACAATTCAATCCGAGTTAGACTTTCAGAGTGAGCAGACGCGT